GCGGTAGTGGTCGTGGTCGTGGTAGTGGTAGTGGTCGTGGTCGTGGTCGTGGTCGTGGTCGTGGTAGTGGTAGTGGTAGTGGTAATGATGGTAGTAGTAGTAGTAGTAGTAGTAGGAGTACGAGTAGGAGTAGGAGGAGCAGGAGTAGGAGCATTAGTCGTAGTAGTTGTAGTCGTCGTCGTTTTGGGACTGGTAGTAGTGGTAATGGCAGTCGTCGTCGCACTGCTTCTGCTCCTGCTACTTCCACCGCCACTGCCAGTGCTACTGCTACTGCTACTGCTACCTGTACGAGACTTCTACGCCTACTTCATACGTCGTCGTTGTAGCAGCGGCGGGCAGTGAGGCTTTCAGACTGCAAGACTGCTACAACCCTTCAGCTCCGGAGTCTCATGCTCCAAGTTGTATGCTTCAACAAAGCTGAACTCCGGCACTTCGTGCATAGGTTTCGGGAAGTGGCTCTCGTGTGAAAGGCCCAACGCCCTTTGAACTACACCAATAGTACGGCAGAACCGTAACAATAAAGCAACCTCACACTAAAGCAATGACTCTGTCGATTTTGGAGACACGGCTGGCAGGCTCTGATGCAATGGTCGCTACGCTAAACCAGAAGACCTGAACCGAAGTAGCCCAAGGATTCTGCAAAGCCAGGCCGGGGGACCCAAGTGGAGGGGGGAAAGGCCATCGTTAATACTTTACTTCATAAAAATACCTCTGTGTATATATATATATATACACACGCATACCTTTATACATATGTTTATATACAAAACATATTGTGCATGTGTGCCTGTATGTACATATGTATGCATGTGTCGGTGAGAGTGCACCCCGGAATATGACGTACCGACCGACCGATCGACCTACGTGCCTACCTAGTTATAGACCGAGAAGTGCTTGTGGAATCCCACAACTTCCTCTTGATATTCCTTCAAACAACCAACATGTCAACATGCCCGTGTCGTATTACTGTCTTGTTTTCTGAACTGACTGTCTTGCTTGTCATTTTCCCTACATCCATGCTGGTTATCTGAGACAACACATAGCATGTTATCGTATTGAACGTCGTATTGCATCAAGATTACACTGGGCTTTTCCCGTCAGCAGCTAGCTATGTTGTAGAACTCCAGACACTTCGAAGCAACTTCCGTGACCAGTGTGGGGCCGTCTGAAAGTGACCGGCCAGCAAGTCAGGACAACTTAACAGTCATTCCGACAGCTTAAGATGCGCTCACCTGCCGACGGTGCATGTGCAAATCTCTGCTGCCCGCGCGATAGCCAAAAATTCGGCATCTTAGCCAAGGCTAAAACACCAAAGCAAAACTATGCCCTGGAATAGAGCTAAGGCTATGGATCTCCATATCGAGAGCATTTTGTTAAGAATTCGAAGCTGCACATTTGCCCGACGCCCATCGGCGGCATGGTGGAGGGCAAAGCCACACGAAGCGAGCAATTTCATTGTCAGCCGACGGGCTCGAAGCACACTCAGGCAACGGAATCCCACCTGATGACCACAGGAGAGCGTGGAGCAATGACCTTGAGCCATCCGTAGGTGCTCAAGAATTGAACCGCTCCCAGACCCTGGGTCCCGTCCCTTCCCTGGATTCTGAGCACCTGGACCTCGGCCTCATCGCGCCGCCGGGCTGCCATCTTCCTTGCGGGCGCCTCTGCAGGCTGAGTTTGGGCTTTAATTTAGGATTGCTTGCAGGGTGAAGGCGGGCTTCAAAGGGCTGCGGGCTGGAGCCAACTGACGAGTTGGCGGAAGAATTGATATCAGTGCGTGTATCAATGCAGAACTGTGTGATTCTCAGAACAAGGATGCAGCATTTCTGCGAGGCTTTAGGAGACTACAACATAGTAAGGACTAACCGAGTCCAGCACAGGACTCGTAACTGTAAGGATCTCAGCGCTGACTTGAGCTGAGTGTGAAAGATTCGCTCCCGCCTTCGAACGTGGGGCTGTCTGGAACTAGAGCACCACATGGAAGGCTGCAGCCATTGCCACAGGCGCCACAAGGCCCGCAAGGCCCGCAACCTGGGCAACTTGGCCCACAAGGACCTGAGCAAGGCATGCAGCCGCCGGTCACGCAGCCGCCGACGGGGCATCCACAGCCACAGCTGCCTTCGCAGCCGCATGGCGTGCAGGGCCCACAAGGCGTGCAGGGCCCACCCATGCACACGTCTCCACAACCCGGTCCGCATCCACAGCAGCCGCCACATGGCACGCAACCACCACAGCCGGGGCAGCCTCCACAGCACCCTCCACAGCCGCAGCATCCGCCCTGACCGACGAAGCTAACGCCGTCGCCGCTGTAGGGGCCACTGAAGTTGACCGGACCTCCAAGTGGCTGTAGCAGGCACACAAGGCAAAGCGTGCATGGTACGATGCTGATGACAGTTTGCCGGCTCCAGGCCTCCGTTGCAGGGCATGCCGCCGAAATCTCCGGCAGGAACCTGAGATGCTCCACGCAGTGATATAAAACATGTGGATAAGGCATGGTTCGACCTCGCCTCTGCACTGCGAGTTGGGAGCTGTCTTTGAATCCGCACGGCCCTGTACCCAGCTCGAAGTAAACTCCCCAGAACATCCGAGCAGACTGCGTATCTGTCCAGACTACGGGCTAAAACATGGAGCAATGCATGTCATGTCACAGAGCACAACGAAGACCCCTAGAACATGTCGCAAATTGCACTATGCAGCAGACAGCAAAATCAGGATCGTAGCATTCCTTGTTTCTCAATCTATCTGTATAAACAAACAGACAGATAGAGTAGATAGATAGATAGATAGATAGATAGATAGATAGATAGGTAGATAGATGGATAGATAGATAGATGGATGGATGGATGGATGGATGGATAGATAGATAGACAGATAGATAGATATACAGATAGGTAGCTAGCTAGGTAGATAGATAGATAGATAGCTGTATGCGTCTATATACATAGACACAGACATATTGTGTAGAGAAACATGCATAGATGTCCAGGTGCCTTTGCACGAGTTGCCATAAACACAGCACTGCAAACTGAATACCTGTCGCCTCTGTGCTCGTGTTATTAACTATATGGATTACAGGTGTCACAGGTTGGCAGCAGAGGTGCAGTGGTTTCTGGCGGTTGGTCTGTTGGAGAGCTCTCTTGGATTGGGTGAGAGTGTTCCTGTGGGCTGTCGTGGTTGGTGGCGTATGACAGTGCAGTAGTACCATACATATCGTATATGCGGCAGAAATACGGCAAGGAAGCATGTTATACAATATAAGAAAATATGATGTAGTGTAGTTTGCGACAAAGGAGTTTTGTTCAATTGTAAAAGGTATAGGGGTTAAAAAACAAACACTGGCTTGCCCATCTGTCGGTGGCCCAATCCATCAGTCTGTCTGTCTGTCTGTCTGTCTGTCTGTCTGTCTGTCTGTCTGTCTGTCTGTCTGTCTATCTAGCATCGATCTAATCTATCTGTCTATCTATCTATCTATCTATCTATCTATCTATATGTCTAACCTCATCTATCTAATCTATCTCATCTATCCATCGATCTATCTGTCTATCTAAACTACCTAATCTGTCTATCTGTCTGATCTGTCTGTCTACCTATCTGCCTGTCTATCTATCTACCTACCTATCTATCCATGTGTCTAGCGGGCTGTCTTTCTATCTGTGGGGTCAAACAGAGTTGATCTGCATCTGCGTATATGCATATTTATATATATATATATATTGTTTTTTATATATGTATATTGTATGTAGGATATGCAGGTGCACTCATTGTCGGAACTGACCAGGTGAAAGCCACAACTGTGATCAATACACCCGAGTCAGACGGGTGCGTTTTGTGTAACTGAAGTATGTACAATACATATACCTATGTAGAAAGTCTCCATTACAAAGATCATAGCGAACATACAAATACACGGCACTGTTTTCAAAAGGCATTCGACAAGCTAATGCAGAACTGCCTGTGTGTGTGTGTGTACATGGACATAGCCGTGCAGGTAAGCAGAGATATGTACAGAGAGACATAATCCTCCCCTGTTGTTGTGGTAGACATAGTACCAGCAGAAGCCGCCAGGACAAGCAAGCAAAAACATACTATGCACGACGGCATGAATGCTTCTTCGTGTTGTTGTATAAATCCTGTTTCTGATCATTGCTGCACCACTATGATACCCAAACACATTAGGCCCCTTGCCGCCATGACGACCATTTCGCCGCTTTGCGCAGCCTGTGCTTCAACAGGTGAGTCCGAGGAATACTCGGCTGACAAGTGTGGGCAAAGGATTTAGGAAGTTGAGGGCGTCCAAAGTTTGAGCCTAAGCTGGAAGATCCCTCCCCCTCCCTTTTCCCGACACCTCGCTGCCCTGCCAGAAGAGGATGCCTGGCCACAAGCGACGGAACAACCTTTCCTGTGAAGACTCTAACTTCGCGCTCACACAGCACCCACAAACCACTTTGTGCCCTGCTGCCTCCTCGCAAAGGCTATCATACCCTTAAGTGGGCACTCTAAGGTCCAGCTCGCTCCCTTACTACGGTCAGGCAACGGCCGGCTTCCTCAATCCTCCTCTCCCTAAACTAGGGCACTAGGGTCGGCGCTTCCGTTCGGCAGCTGCAGCGGAGGGTGCTGCCACCTTCCGGCTCGTTGACAGTAGCAATGAATGCTGTTCCTGGAGGCCTACAAAAGAAGTCAGGGGTACACAGTTTTCCTCTCAGGCTGTCTGCTGAATCATCGTTCGCTGCAGCTTCAAAATCCGGCAGCCCGCTCCTCTGGAATGTGAACAACTGAAGTAACCTCACACCCTTGTACATCCTGTCACTGTCTATGTGTTGATTATACGATTTTGCATTCTCTTTGCAGCATATCCGATCTCCCGACCCCACTCCGGCCGGCGGTGGCATCTGATGCTTTAACTTTTGCGCCCTTCTTTGCTACCATTCGAAGGCGCTCTCCATTCACCTGCTGAACTGGTCCATTAACTACTCAACATCTTCGACACTTGCAACAGACACGTTTTTTGTCGCGCTTCTGCGAACTCTGACTAAGCTCTACTACACATCACATGCTTCTGTTGATTCCTGGTGGACATTGCTCCCTCGCGAGTGATTGAAGCAACTAGCTCTATCGTTCCCCTTCTGTTCCCTTCTGTTCCGAAAGGTGGCGCAGAACAGGCACATGCACACCCACCCACTTGAAGGCCCACTTGGGCAGGCATGGGGCCACCGCTATTGCAGACTTCAAGCTGTCTGTTAAGTGGCTAGTCAGCCACTTTAAGGTTTTGCAAACTATTGCACATCGACTCTCTTATGCACAATGGCGCATGGACTAGTCGCACACAAGAGAAGAGGTCAGATCAGAGTAGAGGAGCGAGGCGCAGATTCAGAGAGTCACGTACAGACAATGCAAACAGACAGGCATAGACAGCGCGCACAGACACAGAGGTGTACACACAGAGACAAACAAGCCCGCACACACACACACGCACACTCATTCACTCCCTCACTCAACAACGAACAAGCAAACCATCAAACGAAGGAACAAACGGGGACACAAGAAACAAACGAACTTACAAACAAACACCCAACCAAGCAAGTAGGCAAGAACGCATAGACAACGTGAAAAACAAATAACAAAACAAACAAACAAACAAACAAACGCTTTGCCCGGTGTGCCTGCACGTCTCCCCTCTCGGGCAGTAGCCGTTTTGGACCCACTCCCAGCAAACGTCCCACGTTTCCTGCAGGCTTCCCCGGCTCAATGTGGAGGTGCGACACAACGCACGGCAAGAACCCTGGTCCTCTGCCGCGGGCATATCGGAAACCGCCATCTCCATCTGATGCATCGGCTGCATGGAGGACCTGGGAACACTGCGAAGAAAGGACCAAGCCTAGTCGCAACCCTCGTTCCATCTCGACCCCTTTGGGGCCATCGCATCGGCTGGAAGGTCATGGCCTGGGGCATCTCGGGCCGCTCTCGGCTGGGATTCTGTGGCGCACTCTCCATGGTTTGGATGGCTTGGAGGCTCTGGGGCGAAGATCTGCCACGACACCAACGCTAGCTACCGCTCGGCTGATGCAGAAAATGACGGGAATTCGTTGATCCTTCCGCCACTCAGACTGAGCCATCCAAGAATCCGGATGATTCAGACTTACCTGGGGCTCTGGCATCACCGGCTGGTCCAGGGTCAAAGCCCTGATCCGGATGAGGCATTGCAACATCCCAAATGAGAGTAATTCTGTTTTGTTAGAAATCTGCGTTTCGATTCTGGTAGCAGTATCACCCTACCGGCCACCCTGCCTAGACCATTCCAATACCCACCAACACAGACCAACACATCCCGCCATATTCCCACATATTGCCCATCATCTACCCCGATACCGAATACCCCCTTAGGATAAACCAAACTTAAAATGCCATGCGGCCGTGTTCTATGATTTCTAAGTAAGATATACCAACAGTCTCAAGCCGATGATGATCTAATAAATTGAAATATTATCTCATCATCGTTCGCCACAGCTGATTGTCTCATGACAAGCATTAAATGCTGTTATTTTGTCGAAATTGTGTTTCCACCTGCAGGGTATATAAACATGTAATTCTACAAAGTTGTAGATCTTTCCTTCCCATCTATGGTTTTGATATCATCAGGTTTAGTTTACGACTATTTTTTCAAAACCTGGATCCTCGAGTGTCTTCAAAACGATGATGAGTTTGATATTTCCAGTTGTGCTTTCTTGTATTTTCCAATAATGCCATTACACACATCGCATGTGATCACTTCTTCTTCCATCTTCTTCCTGCATTTCTGACGCCACGCCTTTTCTCTTTCCGGGCTGCTCTGTACTCTTGTGTTCGTTTGTTTGCTTCTTCTACATGGTTTAATATGTATCTTTGTGCTGTCTCTCTGCAAACGTTGCTGGTTTTACAGTTTTCTTCGAACTTTTTTGGGGGGAGTGGTACTGCCGAAATGGAAATGCATGTTTCAAAATTTGAAGGAGAAGTGCTCGCAAAAAAAAATCCATTCGGCCAAGGTTTTGCGTGCAGGAGCCAGCATTCAACCTGAAGCCCTTCTCAGGCATTCACGTTCGGCGCGCAGCCGCCACTCATCATCATCATTGACCTGGGACCCCAAACCGGAGAGGGATCCGACCGAGAGGGGTAAAGGTTCGGATTCTGCTGGAGCCAAGCTGACACTATCTTGGCTCCGGAAAGAGATGGGGCCATGCGGTTCAATAGGAAAAGTAAACACCAGACACCCTGCAATTCCGAAGCCTCAAACGGCCAACCAGAATCAACCAATGCCGTGGCCGGGGCTCGGCTGGCTCCGTGCCTCAGGGGTCTGAGCAATCGACATCGGGTCCGATTAGCGACGGAATGTTCAGAGCAAATCGATCATAGTAGTGGAACGAGATTTTTCAGAAGGGGAGAGCAGGCAATTCGGTCCGAAGTGGCTGTGAACTCAAGGCCTGGACGACCACAGCTGGCAAGCTGTTAGCTGTATTTGCGATGTCCAGGTGTAACCCTAGTTGCTCTCCTGACAGAGCTTGGCTTCATTGTGATCACTCCTTCTCTCTGCCAGGCTCGGCTCCCGTCTGAGACCTTCGCTGGGGCTCGGCCTGGCAAGACTTCGAGGCTTCACCGCTTCGAGCTCTTCGAGCTCTTCGAGCTCGTGACCCTTCCCTCCAACCTCCAGAGCGGCGTCTCTCGCGGAGCTCTGAGTGGAGTCCTGGAGCTTCTGAGAAGTCTAAGAGGGAAAATGCCTTGCGATACGACTGACTTCAAACTTTTAGCGAGGGGGAGTGGATGATTGCTTGAACATCACACGAGTCATGAAATTCCGCACGAACAATTCTAGCCTTTCCCGTTTATTCCGCGACAATCATGACCCCCCGTCGGCAGCAACTGCAAGCTCACCAGCCTCACCACAACCACGACTGGCGACAAAAACAAAAGCAGCAGCAGCTGCAGCAGCAGCATCAGCAGCAGCAGCAGCAGCAGAACCACCGCCAGCGCTACCACCAAAGCCACAGCAGCAACGATGACGACATCGTCATCACCACTACTCTCGGCACGGGAAGCCAAACCACCTCCCATGTATTAATCTTCGATCGACAGTTCTCTCCAAGAGCATAACCTTGGTGAAGAGCTACCTGAGTGGCTCGACTCGGAGACTCACCCTACACTACGCCCCGGCCCTACAGTGTTACAGCTGCTGCCACAATCTCACGCCTCAACGCAATTCAACGCAGACTGGCAGCCTCAACGTACAAGCCAGTCAACAAAATAGCGAGGCTCCTTCCCATCGTGACAGAAGTTCCCAGAGAGGGCGCCTGGAGAGCATCTTGGGAGGGTTGTCCGAGCTCAGAAACATATGTTGATTGCCCTTTTTCCTTCTGTTCCCCCAAACATGTTCAAGCACAGCACGGATAACCACAACGGCCTGGCCTCCGTGGGCGGCTTCTGCATCTCCTCATGTCGTAGCACACTTTCATTTGGCGCGGCTCAAGACTCAAACATCCAAACCACCCCGTCAACCTCCTGCACGCGTCGAGAACTTAGGCGCTGTGGCCCATGGAGGTGCCGACGCCCGTTCCCACGGCCCTCTCCTGAAGATTGTCCCAGGGCTCAGGGCTTCCAGCGTCCTGCAGAAACCCATCGGGCTGAAGCAAACAGTGTCGAAGAAGTGCTTCCGCTTGACGTTGCGCCACTGGCAATACTTGACTACGTCAAGGTTCTTGTCTGCTTCTTTTCGGGCAGCAACTCCTACGATGGCAGCCGTCTACGGTGCAGGTGATTTTTGCAGCGATAGCTATTGCGTCGATATTCGTTGACATGCCAGCTTGGTCATCACAAGCTGCTCTTGTCGGTGGTCCCAGTACAAGGAAGGCAAGCAGCAGCATTTGCGGTTGCAGCGGCAACAGACTGGCAGCGATGGCAATGGCAACACAGTAGAAGCAGGACTGCTGCTGCAGCGGTCACAGCAGCAGAAGCACTGACAGCAGGCAGTAGTGGCACTCACCAAAAGTAGTAGTGTTACAAACGATGGAAGGTGTGGCAGCATTCGCAATGCTTAAGTTGGCAATTGTTTTCAGCAAGTAGACGTTACAACAACAGCACTGACCCCTGATAACTATGATGATAACCAGGGCACGGATTTGGGAGTAGCCGACGAGCAGCCACACACGGGTCCAACAGTCCGACACATGTTGCTGAAGTGGTTGCAAGCTTCCCGGATACTGGCTGTCAATCCTGGCGCTCGCTGAAGGTGGTCGCGCTCTGGAGCGCCTCGAGACATGCAAGAACTTGTCTCGACCCGGAAGTGGAGGCAGTGGAGGCAGCAGTAAGAATCCTCGAATTCCTCCGGTATTGGCAAGCCATGGAGAACACAAGAGAATCAGTGGTCGAAACCTCTCGGAAACAGGGCGACATTACTGACATGGAAGCCACGTGAACAGCATTAGCATGTTACCCCGTGCGCTTGCTTCGGCTGCTAATGCTACGCTCGAAAACCCAATACTCACGTAAAGCAAACCTCCCTCCGTGGATGAGGCAAAAGAGTAGCGGGGATCATGTTAGTGAGTGATGTAGACAACAAGCATGAGCATGATGATGATGATGATGATGATGATGATGATGATGACAGCAGCAGCAGCAGCAGCAGCAGCAGCAGCAGCAGCAGCAGCAGCAATGACAGCAGCGGCAACTACAGTAGGTACCGATTGAGCTATATCCATGCCACGAAGAAAGAACAGGACGAGTAACACTCGTCTGCAATGGAAAGGAGCCCACAGAAATCAATAAGTACCCAGAAGGCCCGAAGGCTCCGAATGCCAGAGCTTGACAGTAAAGAGGCACATATTGGCACGCAGCATGCCGCCGTGCTTGCCTTCTTGAGTTGCAGCTCTGCAAGTTTCCGCCTGGGCGATGTGAAGCTCAAGCATTCTTCTCATGTACTTGTCCAGACAATATTACTGTGACTGATACGCACCTGAGTGCTACACGCAATTTCTGGACCTTTCTGCAGTTTCTCCATCTGCAAGGTGTCCAGCTCCTGGACAGGGCATTGGAGATTCAGTTGGCGGTCCAGCGCAGTGCCTGCAGTAACAGCGTGTATCGACAACACGAAGCCCGGCATGTTCCATCCCCCAAGGTCAGCAGGTGTTTCTAAATCTGTAGATTAGGGAACAATGCGGCCCCGCACTCCTCCCTGCACCCCAATTACCTGCAACGCAAACCTATGCCCTGTCCTCACCGTGTTCGTGCTTCTGCTTTAGTTTCTCGACCTGCGAGGTACTATCAGCTGGTCAGAGTCTCAGATCCAATCTCACTCGTGTGAATGATTTTCGGTTGTGCAGAGAAAACAGGCAAAAACAAGATATCGAATATGTCCTATATAAAATGACAAAACTGACGGGAAGTATGGAACCTTCAGCTGAGTGATTGTCAGCACCAGGTAACCCACAACATGCTACGCTATTGCTGATTACCGTGTGGACATAGGTCTTTCTCGACATGCAAGTACGGTCAGCATCTATATGCACACCAACCCTCTCAACGATGTGTGTTTGCCAATTTCGCAAAAGACAGGCTCTCATGGGTGACGAACAAGCTTTAGCATCGAACTGATCGGGATTGACGGCGTTATGCAGCAAACGAATTAGGTTCCTCGCAATGCCCCGACAAGCAGGGAATGTGGGGCCTGGTGATAGTAGGGATATGCACTATGGATTGCATCAGGGGCTATGAATCAAACACACGGTCGGCTTAAAATCTAGGCTTGTGGGGTAGATCTAAATACCTGCTTGCACCAGGTCCCGTCCCAAGACGTGGCACATCCACCCATGGAAAGTACATGAAACAACTTCGAAACGAACGGCTGAGGGCATACATGGTGGACAGGATGGTAAGGACTTGCAATTGCTTCAGCAAACCAGACTGGCATTCGCAGCCGGGTTACAGCAATGTGTGCTTTCAGGACTGAATGGGTTTTGTGGGAACTAGCGGGTCTGAAATGCTACTGTTGGGATTATTGACCATATAGGAAACGTTCTGGGTATGCAAAGCGGGGCTTCTATTCTGAGTCTCAGAAATGTTTCATGCAATACAAATAATATCGAAAACATTCTGGGTGATACGTCGGATAGTTCTAAAGTATCTAACGAGAGTTCTTGCGTGTGTGTTCGAATGTTTCGTGTGTGTGTGTGTGTGTGTCTGTGTGCGGTTGAAGCCTGCTACTGCTCATTATGAAGTAACACATTGTATAGCTACATCGGCATGTGCGTTCTTGTGAACTGAAAGCGGGCTCACATTTAAGTGCTGACATGGATAATAGGCCGATAAGCCCGCATCGCACGAGGGCTTGTCCTGAAATTGATCTGCATCTGCTCTAATGGGTGGGAACACTGTGAGCAGGAGCAACTAACCATAGTTGATCTGCTCAGCACAAGTGTTAAGGTTTAGATTCCTGTGCTGGTAGAGAGCATTGCAATGATTTTGTACGAAAGGAAACGGTTACGTGCATCATGTGCGTCTATACATTCTCCAGCCATCCATCCATCCATCCATCCATCCATCCATCCATCCATCCATCCATCCAGATGTGCACACATACAAACTTACTCTACGCGCATGCGTACATGTGCACGTACAATACAATACAATACAATACAATACAATACAATACAGTACAGTACAGTACAGTACAATACAATACAATACAATACAATACAATACAATACAATACATTACATTACATACATACATACATGCACACACATATATATATATATATATGTGTATGTGTATATATATAGGCATGCATGCGCATATATGTATACCAGAAGCCTCTCTACTTCAGGTTTCAAGCTGCGGACACTGTTGCTTTGTTGGCTTGGCTTCGGTGGAGTTTAGGATCCACTTTTAGGTTCTGGATTGGGGTTTAGTTTGAAAACACAGGGGTCTGAACAACTGGTACTAATATCATCTTCACTGCGCCACTACAGAAACGACGTGCGACCAGATGGTTCATCTTATGTTTAGGGTTTAGGGTTTTGTGTTCATAGAGGAGTATGAGATACCAGATTATGATTCAGGTTACCGCTACAACTACTGTGATATGAGAACCTCCACCAGCATGTCACCTCGAACATGTTAGCCCCAAGCCAAATTAAAATTGTCCCAAGGCGCAAGCCGAACGGCGCAGAATGGAACATATGAAACTAAGCAGCTCAACTTGCGTAACCCTAAACCCTAAACCCTAAACCCTAAACCCGAAACCCTCAGAATGGAACATATGAAACTAAGCAGCTCAACTTGCGTAACCGTGAGCCCCAGGAGCCTGCCTGACACTAAGAAATGCCTTAGCTCCCAACTCGCAATCCAGAACACTACGCCCCAAACATGAATAGGGTTTAGGGTTTAGGGTTTAGGGATTTTAGGGTTTAGGGTTTAGGGTTTAAGGATTTAAGGGATTTTAGGGTTTAGGGTTTAGGGTTAAGGCATTCACCATGAACTGTCTGGTGCTTAGTAGGGAATGGGGGAATGGATCCCTATGATAGTCCCTTAAGGTCCCTAATAATAGTCCCTATAACCCATTCCCCCATTCCCCACTACGCTCCAAACATGAATAGCTCCGTAGAAACAAAGACAAAACATACACATACGCGCGCACACACACAAACACACATACACAGACGCGCACATCCACGCATGCACGCGCAGACACACACACACACACAAACACAGACACAAACCTTCCTAACAAACTCTATACCGCAAAACAAAACACGAAGGACAACACCTGTACTCCCTCCAAGACCTAATCCCTAAACCCTAAAAGCCCAAATCTTGAACCCCAAACCCTAAACTCCATACCATAAACCCCGACCCATGTATTACCCAAATCTTATAACGAAGCCCAGGAGCTCGCCCCGCGGCCCTAAGCAGGCGCGGAGAGGGAACTCTACGACCTAGGTAGCCCCCCTTTCCCCCACCCCCCCGACGCAATCTGCTGCGGAGAGCTGCGGCTTAGGATTTAGGGCTTGTAGTTACATTGTAGTGCCTTTTTTCGTTTAACCAGTTTTATATTAAGGATCCTAAAAAGTAACCCCAAAAGGGAACCACAATGGAGACTATAATAACCCTAAGCCCAAAACCCTAAACCCTAAATTTAAGCCCTAAGCCCTAAGCCCTAAACCCTGAGGCC